CTTCACGCCTCCGATTTGTTCACATGCATCGATTGGAACATTGCGTGATTCGAAATGGTGTGGCTGTTCTATTTTTCTATTTCATTGGGCGACTGTGCTCTGTTCGTGTCCTCCTTCTCGCTGGTGCATGCATGGACGTAATTTCAAATGACCTGTTTTGGTCTGAGCTCATCGGTCAAAGCATTCCACCCACTTGAGGTGTTGGTTATATTTCAGATATATACATTCAGACAGTGTATGTATGACACACACCCGCTCCACAGCTTCACATCGTGATTACAGAAGCAAACAAACTACATGGGTGTATTCGTGCGCGCGGTCCATGTGGTGTTGATTGTCGACAGTGTAGACGATGGACAAGGAATCAAACACTTCAGCCCAGGATTTAAGCAGTTCGCATCTCAGGCAGAAACGGTAAAACAAATATCTGATGTCCTTTATCGGGAATCGTATAAATTGTGCTCACAAATGAATGTATATATGCATCCGCAGTAAATGAAAGGTGCACGGTTCTGGACAATTTCCATGAACTTCTGAAGAATCTGCATGATAAACTATTGAATATTTAGCTTTCTAATATCATTCAGGTTGGGTTATTCAACTTCTGGTAAATCAGCTGTGTCAGCCTCTTGGAAATACGAGAGTTCAAGTGAGACGTGATTGTTGTTTGTTGTCTTTCTGATGCAAAAATCCATTTTTTATTCTCAAATTGACAAACGAAATTGATCGCATATTCCGAGCTGATGATATACACGAAGAAATAGTGATATTCATATCAATAGTCATTCATGGATGATTTATATAAAGCGCCGCATTGACCCACGTGCCACGGCTAATAGTCAAGTTGTTTTTTTGGTGCGAGGCAGGGGTACACGTATGTTTGCAGTGAGGTTTTTAATCATTTATATCTGTCAGGAATGCATAAAGTTCTCAGAAAAATTGCGAAGGTTTGAATTTTTGGTTACAGGAAATACAGTGTATACAGTTTGGTAAAGATAGATGTTTTGCCTTTGATTCACTTATTCAAACACACAGAATGCAAGCAGCTCAGTATTGGAGTGGGAACCAATGACGCATAAAGACCCGTTGGGATGAAACAAGTAGTAAAGAACTCTTTAAAAAGACTGAAAAGGTAAACAATCGGAGAGTAAAAGAGATGGCCAGTTCAGTTGATTGAATAGAAAACTCTCTGAAGTTAGCTGTGAATGATGCTCACCGTTTTCAGCTATTGTTAGATCATCAGGCATTGTTCAAAAGACCTATTTTTGTCTAAACCATTTATCATTAAAGATGCTTTTGTATCAATTTGCTCTCTACGTAGTAACAGGATGAGTGTGTAAAGGAGTACAGAAAATTTTCAGCGAACCCTATATACAGGTCACATATATCATCGGTTCCCCGGGAATAAATTACCTAGATAAAATGTTTTAAACCTGTATATCAAAGTGGTTTTGTAGGATAGAAACATTGATTCCCATTCACTTATCCAGTAATTTTAAACTTCTCGCTAATTTAATTCTGTTTATTGAGAGAAAACCTCCATTTCCCACGGTTGAGGTATATTGTTATGCGTAGAACAAAAATACTTAGGACTGACCCTACAATTAGGAACCAGAATACCATTAAAAGTAATCGATCATTTTTATACAGTCGGTATGACCAGCATAAGCATGAGGATGAACTTTCTTTTCGGATCAGTGCAAAAGTGGTGACTTTGCCGTCCCAAACAGAAATCCATGTAACTTCTGGATTAGTTTGGTGAAGTTCTGACAGGCAAACTACGGAATTTGACACTCCCACTAAAGCAGTCCTAACTAAGAGGGGTAATTAGTGCCCGTCACTTCCTTCATTGGAACAGGCATTCATTATTCCATCCAATAAGACTGCGATCTTTGGAAGTCATAATTGGCAACTGATTTATATTTTCCGTCTACATCGCCAACAATTCGTGAACTACCTCAATCACATTGATCGGTTGTTATAAGGTATTAGGATTTTAATTCTTATTTGTTATTCTTCGCAATTAATTTCCCGATTTTACTCATGGTTTACCATTTTTCGTATGCGTTACTCACTTTGAAATCAGCCGAGCCCATTTACGTGCTGGATTGGGAGGTGCTACGGGCGTGCGCTCCACCAGACCACCGGGTGTTTTATTCGACAGGGTAGATGGCGGGTGCGTATCCAATTGACCCGTGTTAGTCGGGCTGAGTGAGGCTTTTCGTTCGGGACTAACTGTGGTCGGTGAAGAGACGCAGCTGTTCGAGAGTGCCGCGGATTCACCTGGCGCAGACTTAGTCGTAGATTTCGCTGGGGCAGCTGCGGTCATGGAAACCTGTCGACTCTTCGATGCTTCCGCCATGATACTGCCGGACAAACTGGAATTGTCTATCTCCGATGCATCCAGAGAACTGTCCCCAGACACAATGGTGCTCAAACCTTGACGCAAAGAGAAATCGCCCGCCTGACTCGGTCTTCTTAACCGGGAAATAAGTTTTCGTACCGGATGGCCTGCAGGCAGAGAGCTCAGAGGAGGGTCTTTGTTACGTCGCATGGAAAGTTCCATTTCGCGTTTCACATCAGCCAACTTACGAAATATCACCTGAGTAGTGCAGAAAAATGAAACATTTGATAGCAGACACGTTAAAAATTGATGTAAAAAAGAGGCAAATTAGACTAACTTTGGTGGTGTTGAACTTAAAACACCCAATTGTGTGCGAACACACTTCCGGGTAAATGTGGGATATAGTGTGTGCCAAAGAATAACATGGATGATTCTGTCAGAACTAATTATTTCCTGTAATATGATGTTTATGGCCATGGTCTTTGTTACAGTTATATGGTAACCAAGAAAAAAGGCAGTAAAAAATCCCTTGTTCGTTACCAACCAAAAATAAAATATGATAGAGCATTGCATAAACGAGTTCATTTATTAAAATGCAGATATATTGTACAGAATGAGGTTGAAAGTAACACTCTATTGTTCTAATTGTGTCATCTCGTCCCAACTGAAGCAACGGATGGAGGTTGTAGTAGACAGAATCGTGCACGAGGAATGTCATAAAACTGATTTTCGAGACCTGTACAAAGAACTAAAAGAGTAATTTCTTTTTGAATTCTCTTCTTTTAAAACAACTCAAAGGAATTTCGAACTAGTAATGGCAAAGATAGCTTTCTAATAATGGTGTTGTGTTATACCCTGAACAAACAGTTGATAATCGCCAAATAAGGTTTTCACATACATATATACATACATACATACATACATACATATATAAATACATACATACATACACATATCAATAAATTTGTGCATAGATTTATACCTAGATACTTATAGGAATGCATACTGCAGACAGGTAAACTCATGGATCCCGAACTAAACTTGATTTATATACTGATGTGTAATATTTAGGGTTAGATCTCTTTGTATTCCAGTCTACGGTGACCAGTCTATCTCCTTAGTGGTCTAGATGAATCACTTGTATGGCGAGAGACAACGTATTGCAGGTCATTGCAAAGTTATATAGGGTTGTGTGGCAGAAATTCGGAAAACGTCCATGATAAGGAATATGATACTGATCAAGTTGTTTTCCACAACCTACATAGTATAGTCAAANTCAAAGAACCAATCACTATGGTATCCACGTTTTGATAGCGTTCTCACTGGTAGTCTCGTTACGAGTTAGTTCTTGAACCTAATTAATTTATTCACAGACAAAATTCCACCACTGATAGATAAAAATCGGTTAGCTTCAACGCTTCATGAATACAAAAACAAGGATGAACAATAGTCAGGAGCAACATTTTGTCACTGTAGTCTAACTGACCGACTGCCACAGGAGTCCTTAAGATGGTCGGCCTATCGAGGGAGTACAGTAAAGCGTGAAAAAAGGAGGAAAGTAGATAAAAAACGAAAGGGTCAACAGCTGAAACACAAATATTACCAATCAATCAACCAACAGTGAACAGATTTAAAAACCAACTCTGCAGCACGCACAAATAATAAGTGTACCATTCTTCAGTGCACATTCTCGGTTTGTAAAACCGTATAAAATGCCAAAAGTAATCAAACAAATGTAATGAAAAAGCGCTTCATCCGACAGTTTTCAAGTCGAGAAACGCGGAGACTTACACGATTACACAGGTTATGTGTCAGTTCCAAATTGCGGGTGAAGCTGTTCGAGAATGCGTGATAGAATTGCAACACGGCCCGCAATCGTTCCAGCCGAATGGTATGCAATGTGCAATAGGTGAGAGCCCGGACACTGGCAGCGGACGGGACGGAGACTGTGTTGCGCCACGACGGATTACCAAAAACGTCACCCTTACCTGTCGGGAAATACACGCAAACAGAGAAACATCAGAGGGGTAACCATGTGGCGGAATGGGAACCACAGTGCGTCAGTTCTGCTTGCAATGGGTGGTTAAGATCTGTGAGAATCCTCTCCGCAAAGTTCACACAGGAAGTTATATGATCATCTAAAAGCATCACGACTAACTCGTTCACGGAAATAGAAGAGACGCGGCTAATAATAGGTAGACCGCGGCGTATGAACGCCTACGCATAATGCTTGGAATCCGATACGAGTCACCAACAGCTGCAGTGGAGGTCTCCGATGAACTCGGCATGGTCGAGCTGTTTCACCAAATGGTTTGGGAGTATGCAACAGAGAATGAACTCTGGGGGCGACTACTTCGATAACATATTATACTTATTTCTGTGTAGCAAATAAAACTTGTTTTGCACCCGGAAACGTTTTGCCCAGCCCTCAAACTATTCGATTTGACCGCCCAAACTGTTGTTCGTCGTTTTGCGGTCACCTGACGCAGATAAAAGTTAAAACTATCTGGTAATCTATCACACTATCCAGCCTCTATCCACACTATCTCGTCGATTGGACAAATCCGGGTTGTGACAAAGTAAGTGCATTCTTTCCCTCCACCGACTGAACGTCATCGAAACTTACGTTTGTTGTGGGCAATAAGGCTGCATGTATGAACAGAACAGTCAAACCGATCTGCTTTTTCTACCTACAAGCATGATCGTCCAAGTTGTGTCCAGAAACAGACGTGCATAAAAATAATAAAAGTGCTATACCGACGGCAACAACCACAACATAGCACAGTGAACATTCACTGCGGGTTTGAGGAGTTCATTTTGCGGAAGATTTGGTCAAATTGGCATTCCGAGACGGCGTTGTCACTCGTTGGTTAACCTAGAACTCTTGATCCAATACTTCTTGCAAATGGTGAGTACAACTACTAAAACGATTTTACATAACAGTAACGTATTGGCACGTCATTCTTCATTAGTACGCGATATTCATGCGTATCACGATGCACAGATGCTTTGTCGATCACTCGAATCATTCGACCATGCAAAATATATATGATGAGGCAGTGGTAGTTAAACGGTAGATGCCACCAAATTATCGAATGTGATCCCTGCCACCTGACTTTATTCACTTTCATTGGCCGCTTCCTTCTTTTCTGAATACTGTATGTTTGTGTAACAAACAAAAGCAAATAAAAAGGAAAAGACAAGTAGGGGAAGATAGCATACCATCAGACGATTGATAATGCGCATTACTTAAAGGACAAAACCTGTTATGACATCCTTTTGGGGCGCGAAGGAACGTTTCCAGCAGTGTTGCAAGTCATGGCAAATGCTATTCATTCGAGTCCTATGAGTGACAAAACTGACGATTGTGAGTGGAGTTATCGATCCGTCGGCCATGCTGGACAGCCTTCTCTCTCAGTCTGCCCAGCAATCACAATGGATTGATCAGATAGCATTGGAAACACAATTATTCCGCTTGTTAGTGTTTTTCTCATAAGAAAGATTTATTCTTCTGTAGTACATGTATACAGCTGTGACATAACAATGGCGGTATCCTATTAGTCACGAGCATTGTTCGCAGTGGTTTCAAAAGAAACTGCATCTGAAATCCCTTTCATTAACAGAGTAGGCCATCTCTCCATGATACGACACTATTATAATGATTTTCGAAGGGAAATCGTTATCGCACAAATTCGTGCGAATGCTGTCTGTTTCATCGTACTTGCTACAGCAAGTACTATGGACGAATAGAAAATGAAAGTTGAGATCTACTTTAATCCTACAGCATACACTGGCTTGCAATCGTTCTGCTATTACCAGGATTTTCTTCAAGGTGTTCAAAGTTCGGGAAATCCTCAGGACTGCTTCAATTTGTTTGAACAGCTGCCATTCAGAGCTTGAGACCAGACCTCTGATTGATCTCACTCTCCCGTGATAAGTGTACCGAGAAACCGAATGAACTAATAACAAACATTCAATTCATCCGGGCCATCCGCATAAAGCAATAACTATTGGTGTGGCAACTCTTAACCCGCCGGCTCGCAATTTGAGTCCTGACACGGGGACACAAAAACGTACGCAATACTGACAAGTCCCTAACAGGGCGAAACAGTTGCCCAGTGCTCTTTGTTCGTCATCAAAATGATTTCTATCCTAAGGAAGGAAATATCCCGCCCCCTTGTGTCAACTGCCACTAATATCTCAGTGAATCCTAGAGCTACATATTGAACACGGTACCATTTTAGTGCAACATAGACGAAAAGAGAAACTTGCTATTGCAATGTGATACGAAAAATCAATATATGGCAGAGTTCGGAAGCGATTTCTTAGAAGAATACATCAGCCAAAAGAATATAATCAAAGAATTAGGGGGATATAGCAACTACTGTTGCCCTTACTAATCACACGTGTTAAGATAGAAAGAAAATAGACCTCGACGAGCCCATGACTTTGAGGCCGAGATTTGTTTGAGGTCCCATTTGAATGTACTTTTTACAGAGAAGATTAAAATATAGGTGACATTCTCACAACGCACCCCATCGTCTCACGGTACCGCAGGTCCACAATTAATGAAAATGTTTACTACCAATGGCGTTCCAAGGTTGCGAAGAGGAGAACTGACACCAATTTCATAGAACTTATTGTGATGTGAGCGGATGAGACTAACCAATCACGGGGTATATTGATATAGCTTTTTACAATTCAAATAGATTTAGGCAATGCAATTTATGGTGATAGCCACTCGAATAGGAACTGGGATTGGTAGTGGTGAAGCAATTTTTACCATAGATCGAAGCATGCTAGTGCTGTCATGCAATTAATAACCGTGGATAGACACATGCACATCAATGGAAAAATGAGCACATAAACATATCTCCTGGATTACGTGGATTTTGTCTTGTGAAGATAATTGACAAAATCGGACAATGTTCAACACCGTTCTACATTTTGCAACAAAGCAATGGTAAACGGATTGCGACAAGAGCGTAACGTTCAATTGATTGAAATTGATTATACCAGTCCATCCTTGTTCATTCAATCTTACCTAAAATGGCTATAACTTCGTCATCTTGAAGCACTTCCAAAGAACCGGAGGCAATGAAACATAATTGATCCACACTTTCACCCTGATGAAAGATTAGGTCACCCGGTGCAGTGTGCAATGTCTGAAAATTCACTGCTAACGAACGTCGACATCCGTCACTGGCCAATCGAAAAGCCGGATGACTGTTGAATACGCATCGATTCAGGTGCACCGAAATATCCGCTTGCATATCTTTTGGACAATAGTTTAGAACCTAGGAGGAGATAAAAAACAAATACCATTGTAGTTACTTTATTCATGCAGGTTTTGAATTTATAAATATTAAAAATGAATCATTTACTGTGTTCTTTATCGATGGGTAGAGTAAAACACTATAGCTCGCGAAGTATGGAGTTTTGAATGGCCAAATGTTTGTAATTTTCACTGAGTTCACCAATCGCGTTCGTGCTTCGGTTGCCACATGTTACCCGCTAATCATAGATATCACAGCATCCATCCAGTTGGCGTTAACCTTAAATCACCAAAAGTAGTTCATGGGTGAATTATCTATTCGGGATGAAAGTTTCAGTGAGATGAGTTCTGGCTGTGTCCTCCAACCCGGGAACGTTATGTGGTTGAGCATTGATCGAGTAAGCCTCCGACTAGGCGAGCTGTCTTCATGGAACAATTTGTCAAGAATTTTGAGAATTCGGTACAAGGTAACACTGGGCTTTGTTCTAACATTTACAACCTGGTCCCGCGGCCGGTATCACTCAGCTCGATCGACCACAGTACTCTAAGTGGTCTACCACCACCAAACGCTGTAGCGATGTTACCTGGAAGAATAAAGTTTATAAATGTTAGATGATAACTTTCCGCCGGTAAACCAAAACGGAGTATTGGAATTTGGTTGAAACACAACTTTCCCAGACCTAAATTCCGTCATAGGTGACACAGTTCGTCAACTGTTGGGCGTGAGGTACTATGTTATTACGGGAGCGAAGAGGTGAAATTGTGTTGTACTGCATTAACCGGATCGAGAATTTGTGTAGAGGTTTTCAGTCATGGGAAAGAAGATCAGGAACAAACTGAAAGGTAGGATGACAGTAACGGAATCAAAGCTTCAAACACCAAGGTTTAATGAATCCTGTTTTCATTTAAGATACGATTATCGTTAAAGTGATTCCTGATGGCGGTACTAGTAAATGTCACTCACAACAGTTTTAGTTTTCATTGTGTCGGCTGATCGCTAACAAAATAATATAAGTAAACTGTGCCCCGTACGACCCACATTCATGTGCATTCAGTACTGAGATATAAAAATATGGATTCTAAATCAAAATATGAGAATCCTTCCGCCCGTTTAGCTCACTTCAACGAAACGCAAACGAAAGGAACCTGCATGAACCTTTCAATGCCCAAAATAGATAGACAGTGGCATTTGAAATGCGAGGTCTCAGTGCATTCATGATTCAATCACCAATTTAACGAACCAGCTGGACATAAATTGCTTTCCTATCCAACGGATAGCGCAGACAGGTACTACCGCGTTCATTCATTTCCATCCTAAGCTGACCCGCTCGATGGTGAAAGAACAACCTAACCGACGGGGGGGGGGGGGGGGGGNGGGGGGAGAAGGGCAGCGGACGGGGACCATCAGACCTCATGCCAACAAAATCCTCATCGTTGCTGGATAATCCACTCACGAAATACTTCTAGTCGATTGTGAAAGAATCAGTTCATTCTGACTCGGTCAATGCGTACTGGGTGACCGTTAAAGGATCAATCATTTTGTGTGGTTCTAGTTGAACTCAACTGGTGGACAGACTTGTAGTCACAACAGTTTCACTTAAATTCAAAGTTGTAATCTGTCACTCATCGAAAGATGCGAATGCAAAACAGTCGGAAACTGTTTGTCTCAAGCGTGTTAGACTGGACGCTCAAAAGTCGATGGATAATGCAATCATAGAGAGCCCAAATAAAAAATAGTTTAGGTGCAGTTCATCCGATGTGCATTACGCATCAGGCATGGTTGTGACAATCGACATGAGTTTCCATCGTGGTTTATTTTGTACAGAATGCGATGCAATTATTTGTCAACAGTTACATATCTAGCGAGTTTCGAAACAATCTGTGTATGAACGGAAATGCAATTCGCATTTTCGCTGCGAGCGGGAGAATCACCGCGGTTGTGATCTCTGCGGTTTAGACGAAATTTGACATTGCCCGAATTGCATGCATACTCACAATACCTCTGTCACCATCGTCATCATCACCGGCACCCAACAGAAATTCCTTCCCTCATTCACATACACATTCAAACAATGATGTTAACACGACATTGTAAACTACGCACACCACAAAATGATGGCACATTTAAGGTGGTCTGCTGCACTGATCCTTTTTGAGTGTGATGCTGAATGTGACACCTAGGAGATTGTGTCTGTAAACAGCTTGAAACCGGTGTATTGTGACCTCAGTATGTCATCTGTACCACCAACACAATCATCCAGATAATCCGTCCCAATTGTTCACCTTAATCAGTTAACTACAAACTACTACAAACTTTCAAATTGTTTCCACCAAAGCAAGCAGAACTAGCACGAAAACAGAGAGTAGGCAGATGCCATTTGATGGTAAATTTGATGAATCCATTTGTTGATGTTATTTGTGTCTTCGATTTCGCCACTTATTCAAACTTATGGTTTATTCGAGTATTTATTTTACGATCCAGCAGGGCAATAATATGTGTACCTACAATTAACTATCAGTACATACGCGGTTCGCGTAATCCCTTGCTACTGCGATGACTAACTGATCAAACATGAATCCACAATTTGAACTCCAACCCATCGCATGGAAGTTGTGTGTGTTACCACTGCGCCAACCAGCTCATGCCATGGCTGAACCAAATTGCCAATTCATGTTTGTTCAGGTGTTGTATGCTGTGTCAGTCAGCCAGTTCATTTGACCCGACAGCAACGAAGGGAGACAGATGATAACCTGGCATGAGCTGGGTGGCACAGTGGTAACAAACATGACTTTCATGCAATGGGTTCGGAGTTCAAATCCCGGACGGGACGGTGGATATGCACTACTGATGAGCTCTAATAAGAGCGAAACTCGAGTCTAGTGCTCCCGTGTGTATGGCTAATACAGTTACATATACGGTTCAAGGTTATCAAATAGTGTAATGGGCTGATATGATAAATATGATTGATTGATTATGATCTTGTGATATGTGGTTTGAAAATGAAAGATCAGAGTTTTTTTTGTTGTTCTTGTGTGGTTTGGAAATGGTAACTGTCCATGGATAGAGTGGGCTGTTCCATTTCCGGTTTGCGCCCATGGGTCATGACAAAGGTCATGGTCGTTTGGCTCATCTGTGTCAGATTGAGGCCGGCATAAGCGAAGTGATTGGACGAACCGCTTTTGAGAACAAAGAGATGGATTGGGCAGCCGAAAGCTACCGCTTCGGCTGCAGCA